GTGGTTAGTAAGACGATAGCCATTTGTGAGTTTGATGAAGCAGCAAGAATGTCACTATTTCTTTGGCTGAAAGCTGTGAGCTGTACTTCCTTGTTCAATGTAACTATTCCAATAGTACCACACTTTCTATGGAGGCGTTGTTGTTTCTCAAGATAATGCTGTATTTTGGTTTGCATATTCTTCAGAGTAACAGTGCTAAGCCATCATATTCTGAGGTGATACGTTGCTTGGTGAAGGCTAATGCTCCTGCTTTGCTTCTGAATTAAGTAGATTTAATAAAGGTTTTGCCTAAACAATATGACATAGCATTACTAGATATGTATCATATATACTAACCATAAAATTGTGAATTGTTTTGTAAGTTTTACATGGCATTAAAGATAGTAATGCAATATTGATATTGATTTCATGCATGACAAACACAATGTAAATTTACCTTCTATGTCAACATAGAGTATACCCTTCTCCCCACAGGACAGAGCTGAACCATTGAGGTAGCAAAGACTCAGGCCTTGTGACTCCACATTTCTATGTACTATGTTGCTGTCTGCTGGACTGTGAAGCCACACTTGGATGAGATCAGATGATCTAGTTTTTGAATTCCAGTTGAGAAACATGATATTTCCATTACTTACTGAACAAAGAGCATAGGGATGTTCATACATTCCTCTATTAATTGTGTCACTTACTCTCTATCTGTCTGGAAGGATTCTGATAGTTAGAAACATGTCTTTGATAGAATCTAGATAGGTCAGCAATTTGGGGTCAATTGATATTGTAAGTGGTTCTGTAGCCATTCTATCCTTATTGTGGACTGAATCTGCAGTTAAATTTTGGAGAACCTCAGTAATCTGAGGACTTGATTCACCTCTCAGCATTCTGAGGGTACTAAGTGTGCTTCTGTCTCCATCTCCTAGAATCAGAAACCAATTACTCCATGAACACTTGTAAGTTTTGGCAAGATGCACAACATCAGGAAACACAACTAGGTACTCAAGGAACTGTATTTTCTCTTCAGCAACAAGATCAGCCATTTTTTGATTTCCTTACTCACAGTCAATGCTCCAGGCAAGTACAAGGAATTTTACACATTGGATGTGATTTTCTAGCACCTTTTACAAGCTCTTAATGATGGGCAATAACTTAATTGTCCTTCTTCTTTACATTTGTCACAAACAGCTTCCAAGTTCAAGCAAGTTTCACATAAAGAAGATTTGCAACACTGGCTTCAAGCAATAGTGTCTTCTGAGCTTTCAAGGCAGGCCTTACAACACTGCAATTGCATCACCTCTTTAATTACATTTTCTTTTAGATTCCCTCCCCTCTTGCCCTTTTTACTGCAATTAGATACTCCAACTGATAATGATGAGGTTTTGGAGGAATTTGTTGAGAGGGTAACAACAGCCTCAGTAGCAATGTCTTCTTTCAGATATTTTGTAAGGTCAGGATTCTTTTCAGAGTTGGCTTTAACATAGTCTAATTTAATATTTCCACTTGCTAGTCCAACTATTGTTTTCTGTGTGGGGTCAAATTGCAGACTCAGCTGTAATGCAGTGCCATCATTCTCAGCATGAACACTTTTAAAAGACCTTGAAGATATCGCAATCCATGATGATGGATTTCTCTTTCTCAATAATGTTGTGAAATGGTTGCATAAGTGGATTAAGAATGCCACTCTCTATAGTATAACCACTCTCTGTAGTATAATCACTACTGTGTTTTGTTAGAGTGTGGTCTGATAGACCACCAAGGTTTGAAACCATATTGTTGGGTTAAAGGCACCTCCCCTACCTTCAACATGCCACATTGGCCCACTTAGCATATTCAGTGCTTTGGCCTCCCAACTACTTCAGAGTTTTGAAGAATTCTATTACTTCAGGATCCCAACTGTAATTTTGTAGGTGTGACATAGACTTGTAACACATCTTTTAAGTATTTATAAAATATACCCTCCTTTGGAATTAATCCATTCTTTATCACTTTATCTGAAACCGGAGTTAAGCACTGTCCTAATGGGCCACTAGGCTCGTAAACAGACCTTACCTTATCAGTTTATCCAAAGTGACAGCTACCTGGTCTGCATGTTCAAAACTTATCAGAATCATGTTAGACATTGAATAGTCCAATTCTGCATATTGTGTATTTTCTTCATATTCTCCTATGATATTATTAGCTTCCTCCCCTAAGGGTGAATCATGGACAGACTTGACATCATTATGTGTATCATCGTCAGAGTCAAGAGTAAAATCCATCAACTTCTTCAACATCATCCACATCCTCAAGAGCAAAAATATCATCAACCACCAATTCTTTTGAATTTGGCTCTTTAAGACCATGAATACTTTCTTCAAAAGAGCATGCATCTGTTATACCCTCGCTTGAAACATATCCAAATATTGAAGAAAATTGTAAGGATAATAAAGAACACAAAAGTTCATTGCACCAACTTTATTTCCAACAATTACCTTAAACTTGTCCAATGAGATTTCAACTTAGCAATTTTGAGAATGAATAACAACATTCTTTGAATTGATGCCCTTAACTTCCACACATGCGACTTGAGACATCGTGTCACCCAAGCCGAAAATGGTCTGCGACCGAAATGAAAGAAAGTGAAAATGGTCTGGGACAGAAATGAAAGATGCCTGCTGACTTTTTGCTGTTGTTGTCTGAAAGACGATAGTTTTGGTGATATTAAAGCAAAACCAGCTGTCAATTTTCCTGAATTGAATTTAAAAAATCAGTAAATGGATGGGCTTGGACGACAAGATTTGTAAGTTTTAAAGTAGAGTCGTTGATCGACGAGTTTCGACTCAATTCTGTGAAAACCTTTGAATAGGGGTAAAAATTTTGCTATTTAATGCGAAGGCTAGGACAAGGCAGTAGAGTACTGATTTTGGCAATTAATATTGGTGATCCCGCGGAGCAATTACAGATTGAGGGCCATATTTGAAGTGAAGTGAAAAGAAGTTTTCTGTGGTGTAGAAGTGGAACAGGTGGATAGCTTCCCATATCTTTGGGGTTACTATCAGTAACAAGCTTAAGTGGTCAGATGAATAAAGGCTGATAGTTTCAAAAGAAACTGTTTGGGGCTGCGTCGGTGGGAGTAATGAAATAA